TGGTGTAAGGAACACCATTTATAGCAGCCAATCACTCACCTGTAACGGCAGGTCCTCCTTAAGTTGCCTGGAGACAGAGACTGTTTCATCAAAGGGACTTCTGGCTAGTTTCTTTCTTTTCTTTCTTCCTTCCCTTCATTATCTTTCTTTTCTTTTTCTTTTTTTTTTTGAGACGGAGTCTCGCTCTGTCGCCCAGGCTGGAGTACAGTGGAGTGATCTTGGCTCACTGCAACCTCTGCCTCCTGGGTTCAAGCAATTCTCCTGCCTCAGCCTCCTGAGTAGTTGGGATTACAGGCACACGCCACCATGCCCAGCTAATTTTTTGTATTTTTAGTAGAGATAGGGTTTTATCATGTTGGCCAGGCTGGTCTCGAATTCCTAACCTCAGGTGATCCACCCGCCTCGGCCTCCCTAAGTGTAGGGATTACAGGCATGAGCCACTGCACCCAGGCCTCTTTCTTTTCTTCCCTCCCTCCCTCCGTTCTTTTTCTTTCTTTCTCTCCCTCTCTCTTTCCTTCACTCTGTCTTTTTCTTTCTTTCTTTCCTTCTTTCTTTTCTTTCTTCTTTCCCCTCCCTCCCTCCTTCCTTCTCTCTAGCTCTTTCCCTCTCTTTCTTTGGTTTTGATACAATGTCTCACTGTCACCCAGGCTGGAGTGCAGTGGCATGCTCACAGCTCACCGCAGCCTTGACCTCCTGGACTCAAGTGATTCTCCCACCTCAGCCTCCTAAGTAACTGAGACTACAAGTACCCACCCCCATGCCTGGCTTTTTTTTTTTTTTTTTAATTTCTTGTAGACACGGGGTCTTATCATGTTGTTCAGGCTGGTCTTAAACTCCTGGGCTCAAGCAATCCTCCAACTCTCGGCCTCCCAGGTGCTGGGATTACAGGCATAAGCCACTGTGTCCAGCCTTGGGTAGTTCTTATGACAATTGTTTTCCTCCATGAGGTCAAGCACCTAGTTTGTATATTCACTGCTGTACCTGCATGGACTTAGCAGAATGTCTGGCATATAGTATGTACTCAAATATATTTGTTGAGTGAATGTCAAGGCTTTGCAGCACAGTTGACTCAAAGGCATATTGACAATAATTGAGCCTATACTAAATGTGTCAGAAACTAAGGATGCAAAGATTTTTTTTAAAAAAGCAAATCTGCTCCCTGCCTATTACAGTCCCTCAGAGGACGCAGTTAATTATGTAAATCATAGATATAAAATCATACATATAATAAATGAAGCTTGAATGAAGTGCTATGAAAATGGTCACATGATCTCTAAGATGATGGAGTAAGTCCAAAATAGTTCAAATCTTTTCAGAGTTTTGATATTTAGCCATGTTCTTTTTTTTTTTTTTTTTTCTTTTCTGAGAAGGAGTTTCGCTCTTGTTGCCTAGGCTGCAGTGCGATGGCATGATCTTGGCTCACTGCATTCTCTGCCTACTGGGTTCAAGCGATTCTCCTGCCTCAGACTCCCAAGCAGCTGGGATTACAGGTATGCGCCACCATGCCCGGCTAATTTTGTATTTTTAGTAGAAAAGGTTTCACCATGTTGGTCAGGCTGGTCTCGAACTCCTGACCTCAGGTGATCCACCTGACTCAGCCTCCCAAAGTGTTGGGATTACAGGTGTGAGCCATGGCGCCCAGCCTACCCACATTCTTAAAATCAGATATGTACAAAAAGAAAAGTCTAGGCCAGGCAGGATGGCTGGCACCTGTAATCCCAGCATTTTGGGAGATGGCGGTGGGAGGATTTTGTGAGCCCAGGAGTTACAGACCAGCCTGGACAACACAGCGAGACTCTATCTCTACAAAAAAATTAAAAATTAGCCACATGTGGTGGTGCATGCCTGTGGTCCCAGTTACTTGGGAGGCTGAGGTGGGAGGATCACTTGAGCGCAGGAGGTGGAGGCTGCAGTGAGCTGTGATCATGCCACTGCACTCCAGCCTGGGCCACACAGTGAGACCCTGGCTCCAAGAAACAAAACAAAACAAAACAACCCATTAATGATTGATGATGATTGTAGTGAGTTGGAAACGGCATGCCCTAAATAAAGGTGGCTTATTTATTTATTTATGAGACAGAGTCTCACTCTGTCGCCCAGGCTAGAGTGCAGTGGTAATTATAGGTCACTGCAGCCTTGAACTCCAGGGCTCAAGGCATCCTCCGGCCTCAGCCTCCAGAGTAGCTGGGATTACAGGCACCCACCATCATGCCCGGCTAATTTTTGTATTTTTAGTAGAGACGGGGTTTCACCATGTTGGCCAGGCATGTGTCGAACTCCTGGCCTCAAAGTGATCCACTCACCTTGGCCTCCCAAAGTGCTGGGATTATAGGTGTGAGCCACCACCCTCAGCCTATTTATTTATTTATTTTTGAGATGGAGTTTTTGCTCTGTTGCCCAGGCTGGAGTACAGTAGCATGATCTCAGCTCACTACAACCTCTGGCTCCTTGGTTCAACTGATCCTCCTGCCTCAGCCTCCTGAGTAGCTGGGATTACAGGCACCCGCCACCATGCCTGGCTAGTTTTTATATTTTTAGTAGAGACAAGGTTTCACCATGTTGGCCAGGCTGGTCTTGAACTCCTGACCTCAAGCGATCTGCCTGCCTTAGCCTCCCAAAATGTTGGGATTACAGGCGTGAGCCACTGTGCCTGGCCAAAGGCAGCTAATGCTGTGCATATCCAGTCAGTTGCTACCATCTGGGAATAAATCAAGTTACCAAATTTTCTAATTTTTCAAGTGAAGCTGGAAATGTAGTTCTTTGTTGGCAGAAATATCCTATTTTTTAAGGGTTGGTAAACACCATGCAAGGCAAATAAAATATATCTAATGAGCCACATTTAGTTTAGATTACAACTTCAGTTTGCAACTTCTGGTTTAGAAATTCATCCCTTTTGGTCCCCAGCACCTAGAACAGTGCCCTAAATATAGTAGGAGCTTAGCACAGAGTTATCTAATAAATGAATCAATGGCTTGAAAGTCTTACCAATTTAGAGTAAGATTGTTACTTAGGATTTTGTAAAATTACTTTCCTCTTTCCATTCATTAAGTGTTCCTACTCATAATTTTTTTTTTCTTTTTCTTTTTTTTTTTTTGAGATGGAGTCTGGCTGTGTTGCCCAGGCTAGAGTGCAGTGGCGCGATCTCGGCTCACTGCAAGCTCCGCCTCCCAGGTTGACGCCATTCTCCTGCCTCAGCCTCCCAAGTAGCTGTGACTACAGGCGCCCGCCATCACGCCCGGCTAATTTTTTTCTGTATTTTTTAGTAGAGACGGGGGTTCACCGTGTTAGCCAGGATGGTCTTGATCTCCTGATCTCATGATCCAGCTGCCTCGGCCTCCTAAAGTGCTGGGATTACAGGCGTGAGCCACCGCTCCAGGCCCCTACTCAGGATTTTAAGGTTGAATACTAGTTTATTCCACAGACCCTTTGTCAAACTTTATTTATGGTATACACATATGCAAAAATATCCTAAAGAGCTGGGAGATTGTAAGTATGCTTTTTCATTAATGGAGTGAGGCATAAAAATAAACCAAGGCAAAGAAAGAGGTTAAGTAAATATTAAATTCCTGGCAAAAGCCAGCTTCTCCTTTCACAAATAAAAGATAGTTATACAATAATTATGTATGGTAACTAAAACACACAGAGTTCTCAAGATAGGTAAGTTAGCTTGTATTTTAAGAGATCAATGTCTTCTTTTTCGATAGCATTATTTAGCTTATATGCATCTGCCTTCTTTTTTGTTTTTGTGAATAATGCATATTCATTCATTATTCATTAAACAAATAGCGATTGAGAAAACAAAAACCAGGCATAAGGCTGGATGCCGTGGTCCATGCCTTTAATCCTAGCAATTTGGGAGGCTGAGGCAGGAGGATCGCTTGAGTCCAGGAGTTCGAGACCAGCCTGGACAACACAGTGAGACCTCGTGTCTACAAAAAATAAAAAAAATTAGCCATGCGGCCAGGCGCGGTGGCTCATGCCTGTAATCCCAGCACTTAGGGAGGCCGAGGTGGGCAGATCACCTGAGGTCAGGAGTTCAAGACCAACCAGTTCGAGACTAGCCTGGCCAACATGGTGAAACCCCATCACTACAAACAATACAAAAATTAGCCGGGCGTGGTGGTGCGCTCCTGTAGTCCCGGCTACTCAGGAAGCTGAGGCAGGAGAATTGCTTGAACTCGGGAGGCAGAGGTTGTAGTGAGCCGAGATCAAGCCATTGCACTCCAGGCTGGGCGACAGAGCAAGGCTCCATCTCAAAAAAAAAAAAAAGAAATGCAGAGTACAGATTTTGTAGTTTATTAGGTAGGAAACCGACTCACCATAGGGAGGTGATATTGTTTATCTTCTATTTCACGTAAGGATACATGACCACTGGCAACCTGACCTGGCTGTCTACAAAGGGCATTTGTTGTGAAACGCTGAAGAAAAATCTCATGTTCCTATCTTTAAAAAGACAGAGTTAAATGAAACTCCTAAACATTTGAGTTTAAAAGTAACATAATGAATTAAATACATACTTTAACGGTGCAAATTTAATTTCGTTACTTTTAAACAATCATTTAAACATTGCATTTGAACTATTTTCAAATTACAAGAACAAGCCAGGCGCGATGCCTGTAGTCCCAGCAGCTCGGGAGGGTGAGGTGGCAGGATCGCTCGAGCCCAGGATTTGGAAGGGTGCAGTACTTCTTTGATGGCGCCTATGAATAACCACTGCCCTCCAGCCTTGGAAACATAGCGAGATATCGTCTCAACAACAACAACAAAACCACATGGGGAGCTCCTCACTTCCTTCGGCCCCGACCCCAAGCATCGACTTTGCCTTCCATCCTATCCCTGTCCACGTCGCCTGGGAACCTGCTCCCACTCGGCAAGAGTTTCTGTAGGGAATCAGTCTTTGGGTGCAACCTGCGCCGCACTCTTGTACATTCTGATTGGCTGAGGCCATCCCATGTGCACTGATAGACTGCTCTGATTGGTTAACAACATGCCGCGAGCACGCGGGTGCCTGTTTCCTGGGATACTGTGGGGGCGGGCGGAGATATAGACCCGGTAGTGTTGTGCCCTGTGGTGAAAACTGGCGGCAGCGCGCCGCGGGCCCGGGACTTAGTCTCGGGCCGCCATGGCCAGCGTCCACGAGAGCCTCTACTTCAATCCCATGATGACCAATGGGGTGGTGCACGCCAATGTGTTCGGCATCAAGGACTGGGTGACGCCCTACAAGATCGCTGTGCTGGTGCTGCTGAACGAGATGAGCCGCACAGGCGAGGGCGCCGTCAGCCTCATGGAGCGGCGGAGGCTCAACCAGCTGCTCCTGCCCCTGCTGCAGGTGAGAGGCGACCCCTGGCTCCTGTTCGTGCAGCAAACTTTCACTGAGCATCTGCTCTGTGCGGAACCCTGGGCTTGAAGACACGTGTGTCCATCAGATACTCACCCTGCCTGGAGGAACGTGAAGAAATAAAGATAGCTACTACCGCTAGCTAACGCGTACTGAGCGTTCACGGTGGGCCAGGCGCTTTGCATGCATTTATTTATTTTTGCAAGTTCATGTCTGGCTCCAGTATTTATTAGCTGAGAGTTAGAATCTCAGATCCTGTGTCTTCTGTAAAATGGAGCGTTGGAGACACAGGGATAAGTCATACAGGCTCCCTGTCCTAGAGGACCGTAATAAATAGTAAAAATGCCATAAAACCGGGCCGGGCGCGGTGGCTCACGCCTGTAATCCCAGCACTTTGGGAGGGCCAGGCGGGTGGATCACGAGGTTAGGAGTTCAGAGACCAGCCTGACCAACGTAGTGAAACCCCGTCTCTACTAAAAACACAAAAAATTAGCCGGATGTGGTGGCGGGCACCTGTAATCTCAGCTACTCGGGAGGCTGAGGCAGCAGAGATCGCTAGAACCTGGGGGGCGCAGGTTGCAGTGAGCCACTTGGCGAGATGTCGCCAGCTTGGGCGACTCCATTTCAGAAAAAAAAAAAAAAAAAAAAAAAGGCGTAAAGCCAAGGACGAGCATTGATTGAATACTTAACTGTGTGCCAAGCACTTCGCTTAAAATTTGTTTTAAGTTATTTTTTGAGACAGGGTCTCGCTTTGTCGCCCAGGCTGGAGTGCAGTAGTGTGATCTCGGCTCACTGCAGCCTTGACCTCTCAGGCTCAAGTGATCCTCCCACCTCAGCCTCCCAAGCAGCTGGGAGTACAGGAGCGGGCCACCACGCCCAGCTACCTGTAAATTTATCATTGTCATCCGGCACTTATATTTGTGGACGATTTCACACAACTGTTTAGAGTAGGCAGGCATATTCGGGAGTGCACGAGCGCCTTTCCAGGTCAATCGAAGTCGGGTAGACCCTCGGACCCTTCGGGGTCCAGTTATCTTAAGAGCTGTACAAAGAGGTGGAGAAACCATCTGTCGCATACCAGAAAAATAACCCCATACATAAGATATGCCTGGGCATGGTAAAAGAACAGGGTGAGCCTGGATATGCACAGGGTAACCCAGCATGAACCTCAATGAGGCCTGAGGCCAAGGAGAATGGCGTGGGGCGGGGAAAAAAAAACCCGGTCCAAATCGGAGAGACAAGGCAGAAATAAAAAATTACTACTAATGCCGGAGCTCCTCGCAGGATGCAGAACACCCTAGAATACAAACCACCGATACCTCCTGGTACTTACAACCTCCCAGCTGGGCAGGAGAACAACGGACACAGACTAATTGAAAAACCTTTCCAGGAATCAGTGTGGAAAAGTTTGTGAGTAAACTAAGAGGCCTAGCATAAAAGGGGGATCCCCACACGTTGTGAGTCACCTCCAGGAGCCTAGCAAGTCACACAGTGAACTGGTCAAGAGAAAATCCGGATGATCCCAGGCACGCCGGTTCAAGAGCGAAAAAATCACACAAAATAGCGAGAACACACATAACCAAGCCCACCACGAAAAACCTCACAGTTGTATATCTCATAGCCTAACTAATTAATTGAGGTTTTATGACAAGACTAGCCATCCTCATCGCATTTCATTAATTTTACAAAAACTACGTAGACTTTTCAGGAGGCTCAGGAATGAACCGCATAAACCAAAAACAGAACTAAGTACTGCGCTCGTGGAGGTTACTGTCTAATGCGCGGAGAAGGCTGTCAATCACGTAACCATGAATATAAATCGAAAAGCCATAACTGCTTAGCTATACGGGAGAATATATGCCTATGTGAACACACTAAAATGAAAATACTAGTAACACTGAGCATTATTACATATGTAACAGTTTCTACTACTGTTCCCATTTAACAGACAGAAACTGAGATCCAAATGAATTAAGGGAACTTAAGTATCTGAGCTAGACCTGTGTCTGCAAAATGAAATAACACATGGACAACTGGCGCAGTGGCTCACACTTGTAATCCCAATACTCTGGGAGACCAGGCGGGAGGATCGCTTGAGTCCAGGAGTTCAAGACCAGCCTGGGTAATATGGCAAAACCCCGTCTCTTACAAAAAATATTAAAAAATTAAGGCCGGGCGCGGTGGCTCAAGCCTGTAATCCCAGCACTTCGGGAGGCCGAGACGCGCGATCATGAGGTCAGGAGATCGAGACCATCCTGGCTAACACGGTGAAACCCCCGTCTCTACTAAAAAATACAAAACCTAGCCAGGCCGAGGTGGCGGGTGCCTGTAGTCCCAGCTACTCAGGAGGCTGAGGCAGGAGAATGGCGTAACCTGGGGAGGTGGAACTTGCAGTGAGCTGAGATCCGGGCCACTGCACTCCAGCCTGGGCGACAGAGCAACTCTGTCTCAAAAATAAAATAAAATAAATAAAAATAAATAAATAAATAATAAATAAATAATCTAGCCT